TGACTGAGGACGCGGCGGGGCGGCAGCATCGTTGTGGTTCCTCGACGACGACGCTGCCTCCCGTTCTGCTCCCCGCCCGTTCGGCTGAGGATTTGGCGGGGCGGCGGCCGGGGCGGGGACGGCAGCGAGGAACCCCAACGATGCTGCCGGGCTGCCGCCGCCGCCAGAACTGCTACCTTCCGCCCCTTTGACTGAGGACGCGGCGGGGCGGCAGCATCATTGGGGTTCCTCGCCGCTGCCTCCCGTTCTGCTCCCCGCCCGTTCGGCTGAGGATTTGGCGGGGCGGCGAGGAACCCCAACGATGCTGCCGGGCCGCCGCCGCCAGAACCGCTGCCTCCCATCCTGCTCCCCCTCCCCGCCCATTCGGCTGAGGATGCGCAGAGGCCGGGGGCGGCGGGGACCCCCGACGATACTGCCGTAAGAGAGAGAAAGAGAAAAAGAAAGAGGAAAGAGAGAAAGAGAGAGGAAAGAGAAAGAGAGAGGAAACAGAGAAAGAAAAAGAGAGGAAAGAAAGAGGAAAGAGAGAAAGAGAGAGAGAGAAAGAGAGGAAAGAGAAAGAGGGAGGAAACAGAAAGAGAAATAGAGGAAAGAGAAAGAGAGAGAGGAAAGAAAGAGAAAAGGGGGGGAGAGGAAAGAGAAAAAGAGTGGAAAGAGGGAAAGAGAGAGAGAGGAGAGAATGAGAAGAGAGAGAGGAAAGAGAAAGAGAGAGAAAGAGAGAGGAAATAGAGAAAGAGAAAGAGGGAGGAAACAGAAAGAGAAAGAGAGGAAAGAGAGAAAAAGAGAGGAAAGAGAAAGAGAGAGAAGAAAGAGAGAAAGAGGGGGAGAGGAAAGAGGAAAGAGAGGGAGAGGACAGAGGGAGAGGGGAAAGAGGAAAGAGAGAGAGGAAAGAGAGATAGAAAGAGAAAGAGGAAAGAGAAAGAGGGAGAGGAAAGAGAAAGAGAGGGAGAGGAAAGAGAGAGAGGAAAGATAGAAAGAGAAAGAGAGGAAAGAGAAAGAGGGAAGAGAGAAAGAGAGGGAGAGGAAAGAGAAAGAGAGGAAAGAGATAAAGAGAAAGAGAGGAAAGAGAGAAAGAGGGAAGAAAGTGGGAGAGGAAAAAGAGAAAGAGAGGAGAGAAGGAGAGGAGAGGGAGAAAGAGAAATTGGGCAATGCTTTCTTGCTTCAACTGCCTGAGAGTTGTTGGACTAGGTCAGGGATACCATATTGTTTTTGTTGACCCCCTTTTCCACTTACAGAGCTAGGTTATTGTTTTTCTTTGAAATAAATATTCATGTAATTTTATTGGTATCTATCTTCATTTTTTACATTTACCAGTAGCTGCCTCATTTCCCAC